GTGCTGGGGCCAGATGACTGTCCAATCTCCTCTTAAATACCTCCAAGGAAGGGGACAGCACCACCTCCCTTGGAAGCATATTCCATATTTTGGCAATCCTCACCGTAAAGAATTCAGCAGTGAACTCTTTTTTCGGAAACCCACTTGCAAAAGCTGCTTCCAGAACAGCACTTTTAGATTAGACTGTACTCTAGTTCAGTTTTCCTGGCCTATATTCCAAGTAGTGACTATTTTGCATTTTGAGGAACAACCTTCCTGCTAGGGCTGTGCAAAATTCGCCGAGTGTTTCGTTTTAAAGCTGTTTTGACGCATTTCAAACTCGAAACAGCGAAACTGAAATGACACAAAAAGCTTTGAAACAGTTTTGAAACAAAATGAGGGCACTCAAAATGTTTTGAAAGTTTTGAAAGATTTTTAGTTTCAAAGCAGTCCGGTGGCAGGAGGCAGGGGATAGCCAGGGCTGTGCTCCAAGCAGCTCTGCAGCCCTGGGCTGAGCTCTGTGGGGCTGGCAGAGCTGATCAGAGCGCAGCCCTAGCTCTGCTTGCCTCTCAGCAGGGGCTCTGCTCTGAGAGGCTCCGCAGCCCAACGGAGCACAGCCCAGTGGCGAGAGGTGGGCAGAGCCAGGGCTGCATTCTGCCTCCTGCCGCTGGGCTGAGCTCCATGGAGCCCAGCACTGTTCGCGGGCTGTGCCCAGCACCAGTTCCAGGCGGCAGCAGCAACATCCTGTCACCCGGCACAGATCCAGGGGCCTGCACCCCCAGGAGGAGTCCGGCACAGCCCCACAGCCCTCCTGGGGGTGCAGGCCCCCGGATCTGTGCACCAGATGACAGGAGGCTGCCACTGCTGGCAAGTGTCGAGAGTTTTGCTTTTTGCAGTTTGAGGTGCAGTTTACAAGAAACCTCTATACCTATCTCCTTGAAACTTGTCAGGCTTCATGCCCTCAGAAAGGGCTACCATCCCTGCAATTTTCATCCGAATCAGGCAAGAAATGACAAAGTTTTAGACATTTTCATGATTCCCCATTATAGCCTATGGGCAAAACATTGCAATGCATTGAAATAGCTAAACAGTTTCAACAAAATGAAATGGGACAGTGCTTCGAAACAAAATGAAAAGATGAAACGAAACATTGTCCCTTAAAAATGGTGAAACGGATGCCGAAATGAAACAATAGTGTTTCACACAGCCCTACTTCCTACCACTATGCCATGCCATATGTGGTGGCCTCCACATCATAGGACTTGCAAAATGACAGAGCCAGTGACAAAGTTTGGTGGTTTTCAAAGAGCTAATTTGACTGGCAGTTGGATATAGCACTTTTTTCTTCTAGCTCACTAGGCAAATGTTATTACTTGTATCTATAGCATCAGCTTCCCAAACTATGATCTCCAGTACCTAAATATGTTAAAAATTAGAGAGCTTGCTCCTCCTTTTATGAAATCCTTATTCCCCAGGGAAGGTATGATGTATAGGTTCAATTAAAAAGATATTTCTTAATTCAGTTTCTCTAAAATCAAGATCCTTTAAAGTGAAGACAATTTTATGCAGAGGTCTTGGACTAGTCAAAATAATCCAGAGTTTAAAATATGAATTATTCTCAACACTGATCAAAGAAATAGTTTCCTTGAAAGTGCTCTTTTGTCCTAACTGAAGAGTTCTAGATTTCAGTTTTTCTGGGTCATTCTTGTGTGACATTTTTAATGATGTGATTGTCCTAACATTAACAAAATGCATAGCAAAAAATATCCGTCATAGTTCATAATGAAGGAACTTCACTTTTCCACTGAGATAAGAAATCACTGAAAATCTTTATTACAGGTCATTCTGAATCCACTAAAGCAAAGGATGTCACTAACAAAAGGAGCTCTGAGCATTTCTGTTATCTGGCTAATGGCAACATGCTTCTCCCTACCCCATGCTATCTACCAGAAGCTTTTCCAGTATCACTACAGGTAAGTTTTTGGGGGGTTTTGTTTCAATGGCATTTGATACACTAATGTAGAAGAATTAATGCACCCACTATTGAAATGTTGTTACCTATTAGCTGACAGGCAAAATGATCCACACATTGAGATAAGCAGGGGCACTGCATTATACAATGGGACTTCATTTGTGAATCTACAGGAGGGCCAATTTTAGCTTGCTGAGCTGCAGAGCACATTCAGTCATTTAGTGACACCAGCTCCTTTCAGCCAAATTCTTATTTGTTCAGATGTATAAATAAAAATAAAACAAGAGTGGCCTTTCTGAGCACTCTAAGCCCCTCTGACATACATTTAAAAATAGAAAAAATCAAAAGAGAAATGGCAACCAAAAGAATGTGTAGCAAGGGCTTTGTGCTTCTGCAGAGAAATAAGGCCTTTCTTACTTCAATGGCTTTTTGCCGTGAAACAGAAGTGCAAAGGGCTCTTCCCTTGGCTGAAAGAATAAGAAGGTGATAAAGTGAAACTTCCCACTTGGAGGATAATTCCCCGACTTCCACAGGAAGGTGGAGATTCCAAGCCAACTTCTGAAATTGGCACATCCTTGAATGTTGGATCGCCATCGAAGCCCCAACCCCTGGGGGAAAAGCCAGGGCAATCCAAGGATGACTTTCTTGCATTCAATTTGTAGACATTCATCTAGTCCATACTGAGGAAATGCAGGACCATCAGCTGCCTTTTCCTACCTAAGTTCTAAGTCACTTCTTGTTCTCTCATGTTATAAAACCTCTTCTGGTCTCAGTGCCCATGAATCAAACTCAAGATGAAATCTGCCAAAATTGTTTCAGACACAGGTGGGCTGAACCTCCTGAGTGAGGGCTTGGAGCAAAGTTGTAGAATGCAAGTGACAACACCAAAGCACGACATCTATCTTACTGATAGATGTAAAAATCAGTGTACTCTGAGGCAACACCTAAGTTGGAGGTCTGAGTGTAATCCTTTTCCCCATAGGAAGCTTGCAGTACCAACAGAGCCCTAATTAATGGTTTTTCCTAGCCAGTGAAGATGAAGGCAGTCTTACCAGGATGGAAAGCAGCTGTACATGATGGTCAAAACTTTTTACAAAATATTTTCCTGTTCCGTATTACTGGTGCATAGATTTCAAGGAAATTGATGCTGAAGTAAGACAGACACAATATGCTAAAAGGTGTCTGCTTGATCCAAGTCCCAGACAGCAGAATGTGAAGCCAATAATAACCCACATCAGAAAGATTTGTACCTTGTTTACAGAGCTCTCTGATTTATCTGCACAGAAGACACAAACAAAGATTGTTTTGGCTTTGACTCCCCTCCCCCCACCCCCCCAAGTCATAACTGGTTTCCTCATACAAACAGAACTGGGGGAGGGATGATGTATATATCTAGACAGGATTTCCTTTTATTTCATTTGGTTTCTAAGATGCTACAGAAAACAGATGTGTAGCATGCTGCATGAGAGCTCTCTTTGCTACTTGTGTATTCTTATTTACCTAGTGATGATTTATTAATGGACACAATATCCTCACTGCTCTGATTACCTAAGCAGAGTGTTCAATTACATTAGTGGTTGCATTCCTTTGCAGTGGTGTTCACTATATTACTGAAGACATTGCTTATGAATGAATGAATGCTGATCTTGTTATTATATGTGCACCTGTTTCTGCTCATCAACTGACACATTAGAGAGTGCATCTAGAGGAAACCCTGCCTTGGATTGGGGATGGAGATCTTAATAGTGTAAGGAACTGGCTGGAGTTTATATGCATCTCATTGCCTTCTAAGGGTTAGTCAGAGCTGAAAAACTGTTGGAGACCTTATATCAGCAGTCAGCGACTTTTTCAGGTTGTAGGCTGGAATAACCCAGTTTGGGTCAAAGGCAGATAGGCAGGTGCTGGGATATAGCCACCACCTGTACCTCTGCCCAGAACAGCATGGAGAATGCTCCCATCACAGCCATCACTTGTCCTTGCAGTTGCACAGGGACAGTCCCACCACTAAAGCCACCCGCCACAAAAAACTGCTGAAGCCCCACATCCACAAGCCAGATCAAATGGCTCTGTAGGCCAGATCCAGTCCACAAGCCATAGGTTGCCAACCACTGCCTTATACTAACAGATCCTGAAGCTTTTCAACAGTGGTAGCTTAGGGTGTGAAGGCAGAAGGCTACGGGTTCTGTCAACAGCAAGTTCCAAGTGTATGGCACTATGACAACTGTTAAATTCACTGAGGACTGTATTAAAATGCTATGGAGTGTGATTTGGCTTCCAGAAATGCTTTTGCATCAATGGCCTGAAAGCCTTCTTAGACATTTTTATGTTCTTCTAGAAGTACCTTGAAATCATACCAGGGAACTATGAGGGAATCATACAAGGCATCAGTGGCAGACTTACCTCAGAGAATCCTAGAGATACCATAGCCCTGTTTCCCACCTGTTAAAAATTCAGTTTTAAACTCCCTTTTTCCCCCAGTACAGTTCCCACATCCTCCCCCTGACTAGCTGGTTTGGATACTTGTCAGATGTGACACCAGGTTGGGCATTTGTTCTAGGTATATACTGTGTGAGGAGCACTGCTTGTTATCGAATGCTTTCTGGCAGATGTACACAGCTGTTCTGTGGGTGTGCCCTTGCTGCTGGTAAGTGGGTTCCCCCTTAAGACAGTGAAATGACTGCTTTCCCATTCTTATCTATTTCCTCCATCTATCAAAAGTCTAGGTAGTCTAAATCCTACCTGGCATTTGTCATTTTCCCAAAAGATTTCTGTCATCCTAGATTCACAGAAGTCATGTCTGGAGGGGTCTTATATTCATGCTGTAAGAGTCAATACAGGAGGTTGAAAACAGGATATTAAAAGATATTAATCAAACTGTTGAGAATAAAGTATCTTGACAGGAATTTAGTAATCTGCCACAAATGCAGCTGAAAACATACAACGGCTTGAAGAGGTGAGGTGGGGAAAAAACAAAGCAGGAATCCAGAGATATATACTTCTTTTTCTAAGACACAAGAAATAAATGAGTGAGTCATCAGCTTGTTTTATATTCTGTCAGTTCCAACTACCTATTTTGGCAAGTGGAACATTTTGTCCTTTTCAGGAAGGCACTGGGAAATAGTATGGCTCCTATTAATAGATTGATAGATGCCTGTAATATAGAGTTACTATCTACTCCTAGCCCATTTTAGCTAACATTGGAGTAATAATAAATACTGTTAGTATGTGTCAACAAGACTTTGGCAAGAGGTTTTCTGACGAACCCCCTATCTTTCCAGCAAGATAAAGCATTACTACCAAGATGTTTTATCAGCATAGAGTCCTGAACCATAAGGGGAGTATCATATCCAGCACTTTGCCCTCCACATTCAATTCTACTCCTCTCATTTGGAGCACTTACTTTAGTGAAGTAATTTTCAGCTCCTTGTTGCTTAGGTACCCAGCAATAGTTGAGGGAGGCTGGGAGACATTACAGATCATTCTCACCCCTACATAACACCCCCACCATCCTTCTGCATTAGATTTTGAGGGAGTGAGGTTTTGCTCCTGCTGTATGTAGAGGGCAGGGGACAAGTGATGGATACAGTTTCTATAGTGCTTCAGCATGCCCGAGTGGGGCTTCATTCTAGTACTGTTCTCAACATCCCCCATGAGTCTCAGGAACTCTTCTGTTTTTACATTGATTTACTTAAGCCAACTTTGATATCCTACCCGTTTATAAAAACAGTCCGTAAGGGGCTCTTTTTCCCCCTTTTGATAGGTGTAGGATCTATCTCATGTAAACAAGCATAACAAAACTGAGGTTGATGGAAGCTCTGGTACTAGCCCTACACACACAACCCTGTGATGCTGTGAGTACAGCAGTGCCTGTTTATATGCAAGTCCCAAGGTGGTTTGGGAAATGTAGGAGTTTTTCACAGCCACGTACTATGAAAATGCTTTTTTGTTTTCAAAGGGAAGCTACCATCAGGAGCTTGTGTCTCCCTGATTTTCCTGAGCCTGCAGAGCTGGTTTGGAAATACCTGGACCTTGCTACCTTCCTCCTACTGTACCTCCTGCCTCTACTTATCATTACCATCACCTACACACGCCTAGCCAAGAAGTTATGGCTGCGCAATGCCATTGGGGACATCACCACACAGCAGTACATCACCCACCACAAGAACAAAAAGAAGAGCATCAAAATGTTGATGCTGGTGGTGGTAGTCTTTGCTGTCTGCTGGTTCCCTCTCAACTGCTATGTGGTGCTTATCTCCAGCCTAGGCATCAAGACCAAAAACTCACTCTATTTTACTCTGCATTGGTTTGCCATGAGCAGCACCTGCTACAACCCCTTCATTTACTGCTGGCTGAATGAGAGCTTCCGTTCAGAGCTCAAGTCCTTACTCTGTATGAGCCAGAAAATGCCACGGACACAGGACAATGTGCTGCCAGCTGTGATCTTGCCCTATCGGGAGGCCTGGATAGAGCAAGCCAGGTACAAGAAGGGACCTTCCTCACAGAGCATTCGCTCCACCATAAATGTGCAGACAGTCAAGACAGATTTGTGAGCTGGAGTGTCAAGGTGAGTTGGCTGGATTTGGTAGCAAAGGTAATTTTCTGTAATACATTGTCAGAGTCATCAGGGTGCTCTATAGGATTTGGTCTGGAATAGCATTTTTACATGGCATTTCAGTGCCACCAAAAATGCATTTGCTGGGCACAGGGAACTGAATTTACTATTCTAGCTTTTATTTATTTATTTCTATCACATTAGTGCCCGAAGAACCCATTTTGCAAGGCAGAAATACATCTTGAAGAAAAGCCTCCTGGCTCAATCTCTAAATAAAATATTATGAAAATGTGGGGAGTCACACAGGGGTACATACTGGTTCAGTGTCCTTGGTCCTAGAACAGTGCAGTGCTGGAACTGGGAACAGAATCCAGGTCTCCTGGTTCTTATTCCTAGTCCTGTCTGGGTTATGATCCTATAACTAACCTTGAATATTCATACAGTATCATAGATATTGGTGGCAACAATACTGTCAAATTAAAGGGATATTTAATGTATTTTGTAAATCAAAATAAATGGGTGTCAGACTAAGTGACCCCGAGGTCTCTTCCAGCCCTAGGGGGGTGTGTAGATGAAACAAGGGACACGTGTGCACAACACTTTAAAGCGGGTTAAATGCTTTTGCACCACTTTAATGGTGTTGGTGTTTGCATGTGTTGGCGGCATATTGTGCATTAATTCAAGCCACTGTAGCACATTTGGTGGCGTAATGCACCTTAAATGACTTTGAGGTGCAGCAAATTAATAAACCTCCAAGGAGTTTTAGTTTGCTGCTCTACAGGCACAGAGCAAAGCACTAGGCTCTGTGTGGCTCAGGGGCTGTGCAAGCAACCTGTGCATGCAGCAGCCTGGGAAGGCAGGCTCCACCAAAGGAAAAAAAAAAGAAAAAAAGGTGGCCAGCCTGATCCCCACCCCTGGAGCCTGCCTTCCTGCCTGCCTGAGCTCACAGGGACCTGGTCCTTCCCTCTGTGGCTGTGGTGCTCCCTGGGACCGCCCAAGCTGGGGACCGCCGGGGCGGGGGCCACCACTGACACGGAGGGAAGCACGAGCCCCTGCCCAGCCCCTCCCCAGCTCAGGGACCGCTCCGCCTGCCAGCAGCTCGCCTCTCCTCCCCACTGCCAGAGGCAGGTAAGACACGGGTGTACACGACACGGGGGTTTACTTCACCCTAAATTGAAGCTGTGTTTTCAAAAACCCACCGCTTCAGTTTAGGGTCCCCATTTCATCTATGCCCTAAGATTCTATATTTATGGTGATAATTTTACCCGTTATTGAGATTCAGCCACCTCCAGAATGAAACCCAGTAAGCTAACTGCATCTTTGCTCAACATTTTAGGTCAGGAAGTGATTAAAGATGATATCCACTGTAGCAAAACCGTAGGTAACCAGGATATGTTACCCACATTGGAATTTTACCAAAATACTGACTCACCAGTGAGCTCAGGGCAGGTTGAGGACACCTGAGTAGCTCTAGCACTGAGTTGCTCTCTGATAAGGATGCACAGTTACAATGAAAGGAAGAATTAGCCCTGCAGTTAGAAATCTGTTAACAATTTTGTTTGATGATGCATGAGCTAGCAAAGAACCCAGGTTACTCTCCCAGAGGAATGTTTGTCCCCTGGGGGGCTAAAAGGAGTAAAAAACAGGTAAAACAGACATGGGACAGGAAAGTTATCTGATTTATCTCAGAGTACATGCAGACACAGGGAGCAGACCCCTAGAGTGAGGGGGTTCCATTGCACAGCAGTTTTTCAGCAGAGAACTGGAATTTGAAATTAGGTTCTAATTTCATTTATTCTTTCAGGATTTATAACAACAACATTAATTCAACAATGGAATTCACACTGGCAGTAAACTAATGGCCCTCTATTGATACAAAACCCAATACCTTTATGTCTTCTATTTTTCTCCTCAAGAGAAAAATAGAGGACATAAAGGCGTCTGGGTTTTATATCAATAGAGGACGGAGGGCAACCAGACCGTCCTCTATGATGGCCACCCTATGGTACTCATTAACTGACAATTATTTCACGCAATAGAGTTACAGATTGTTATCTAATAGTTTATTTTAAGCAACTGCACTTACAGGAGCTTGGTAACATGAAGGATTTTTACTTACCAAAAAAAAGGTGCTGGATTATTCTGGCTATGCTTAGGAAATTCCATGTGACATAAGTGCCATACAGAGAGGAAAACAAAAGGAAATAAACTATACAGAATTGGCAAGAGGGAGAGAGCATGGCAGGGATATAAAAATGAAAATAAGAGGCGCTGTACTGAGTCAGACCAATGATCCATCTAGCTTGGGATCCTGTCTCTGACAGTGGAAGTGGATACTATAGAGGAAGAGCACTGAACTGGGTATCTCTAGAGTGATCTATCCCCTAAGTCAATGCTTGCCCTGGCATCCACTGTTATGGGTTTAAAGATGCCAGAGGAAAAACCTCCAACAAAAAAAAAAATAAGAACAAGAGGAGACAAAAAGAACAAAAACATTTTTGTCATTCTTATGCTTAAAAGGCATGTCTACATGTACATTAATGCACCTTTGCTACTGCACATTAAGTTTAGTACCTCTTATATCAGATTCTTCTGTGATGCTTACTGTGCAGTAGACTAATTCTATTGCACATTAGCACAGTTTTTCCTGTGACATGCTAATGTGAATTAAAATAGGCTACTACACATTATGGCATCTCATGTAAATGTGCCTGTGAAAGGAAGGGAGGGGGGCGAGAGAAAAGCCCTGGGAAACTTGAACAGGGAATACTCACCCCAGGAGCAGAAGGAAGCTCAACCAAAACAGGGAGCACACTGCCATGTTTCCACGGCGTGTGCTCCATGCCGATGGGTGGTGAGATCATGCCAAGAGGTATTTCCAGCCCTGGAGAGGGGCAGTCAGTGGAGGACCTTGGCAGGTAGATGAGGAAGACACCAGAGGGGAGGAAAAGCAAGACAAGAGCCTGGCTCAATTTGCCTGGGCCAATTATTGGATGCAGCTTCAAGGCGCCCATCTCAATTGTTGTGACCCAAAAGCCAGGGAACTGTCTCTTTTCTTTTCTTTTCTGTTTGGATTCATGGATATGCCCCTAAAGGACCTTTTGCGGCTTTTGGTTTGCTCAGGGAGCCTGTGAGGCTCTGACCCCATGACTGATGGACTGATATTTAATGATATCCTAAAGGGAGCAATACAGATGGTTGACTCATGACTGACCCATACATGACTGATGGACTGATTATTTAATGATATCCTGAAGGGAGCAATATAGATGGTTCGCCCCAGAGGGTCTGTGATGAATCGAGTGAGGGTCATCCATCTCAGACTTGATAGGGACTCATCAGAATTGACAGACGTATGAGCTGAGGAATCATTTAATTGAAAAGGGCCTTATAAAACCTAAATGACTATATGTGAACTCCTAGGTGTTCATTCGGTAATCCTTTGTCTGACCATCAGCCGCATAAGGGGCTGCAGGATCCTGAGCCTATCGTGTGTCACCTGGAAGTGGAAAGGGTAGGGTGCAAGGTGAGGCAGAGCCCCATAAAAAAGCCCTCCAGGGAGACCCAGGAAAACCATCACCAACCCTACATCCAGCTCCCAGTAGTTGAACTAAACATCAAGACATGGCAGAAAAGAGAAGAACATTGGAAGTTGGTGGTGACAATACTATCTGGTTTTCCCCAATGGTTTACTCAAGTAAGGCATTGGGCAGGCAGGGTCCATGACCTTACAGCACCCATCCCCAACAGCACCCACTGGAAGCATTCTGGTTCAAGAAGTATAGCACTGTGTTGGGATTTAGAAAGCCCAGATTCTGGGCTCTGCTAGCCCTTCTAGCTGAGCTGGGCTTTGAGCACATGACCTCCCTTCTTTAGGCCCAGATTTCTCAGTCTGCCTTTAATCTTGTCTATTTAGATCAGACATTTTTAAGGCCAGTTGTCCCCACTGCCTTTCACAAGGGGACCCTTATCTTATGTGGGTTCTCTAGTCAGTAGTATAATATTAGTAGTCATGTCTGATAATTGAAGTAATAATGGACAAAAACAACTCATTTCAATGAAAGCCACTCTGGAGATAATATTTTTGATCTGATGCTGTATATAATAATGGTTACACACAAACCTTGGAACAGAAAACCTATAGCAATTAATGCCTGCTCCTGAGACTTGGGTGAAAACAACGTATGAGAATTTTTTCTCTTTTGCATCAGTACCAATGAACTAAGAATTGTTCCAAGAAATACTAGAAAACAAAAAGAAGATAGTGAGGTTTAATTTGACGATATCTTTTACTGGATCAACTGTACAATTGAGAGGGATGTTAGACAAGGTTTCAGGTTCAAAGTACCCTTCCATGAGTCTGCTCAGGTCTGCAAGAAATGCTAAAGCACTTTGTCACGTCGGAGTCCTGCAGGAGGGCTGTGATCTCCTTGAGGCCCCTTCCTCCGTGCCAAGTCGGCCCAAGGGCACCCTCAGATTCTCGCCCGCCACGTCTTTGATGTTTAGGTAAAGTTGGGAGGCTGCCTCACGTCTCCTTGGGCACGGTTAGCTGGGACCTCTGTCCCCGTGTTTTCCCGGACCCACCGGGGGTCTCCCTGTATGATGGGTGCTTCCCAGGCACCCTAGCCTTATGGGCTACGCATGGCTCCAACCACCCCGATACCACGCCCCAAGTCTCGCAGATGGGATAGACGTTGGTCTGTCTCTCTGTCTATATTCATGTCTCTCTCGGGCCTTCTCTGTTGTGCTGCCCCCTCCTGGGCTCTCTGAGCCCCCCTCGGGGCTTTCTCTGTGATGTTGCCCCTCTCTAGGGCCTCCTGTGTACACCTGCCCACTCTCTTGGGCCTCCTCTGTCATGCTGCCCCCCTCTTGGGTTCTCCGAGCCCACTCGGGGGCTCCCTGTAATGTCACCCCTCTCTGGGGCCTTCCCTGTAATGTCGCCCCCTTTCCTGGGGACTTCTGCGCCCCCTCTGGGACTTCTCGTCAAGCCACCTGTCTCTCAGGCCCAACCG